AAATTTTATTTATTTTTTCCCCCAAAGCCCCAGTAGATAGTTGTATGTCATAGTTGCACAGCCTTCTAGTTGCTGTATGTGGGACGCGGCCTCAGCATGGCCGGAGAAGCAGTGCGTCGGTGTGCGCCTGGGATCTGAACCTGGGCCGCCAGCAGCAGAGCGTGCGCATGTAACCGCCAAGCCACGGGGCCGGTCCTCGTGGTATCCTTTATTGTGTGACTTCCCTTGGGGAAATTTCATGTAAGCCAGTTGATTAAACCTGCAGAATCTGTTTTTGTTCAAAGTGAAAATATAATTTTTTACACTGTTTACTGTGTGTATAAACCACAGCAAGAAACCAGGTTTAAAAATTTGATAGGTTAGAGAGCTCACTTTGAGAGGTTATGAAACAGTGATTCTGAAAGCACTTAGATGTAATTCCCTGTGGGGACAAAGGGGCTTAGAAATAAAATTTGAAGATTGGAAAGACAACTAAAAAAGAACAAGTAAACTTGTAAGCATGGAGTTTGGAAGGAAAGTGTTTGCATGCCAGATTCTAGAGGACACGTGTGGTGAAAAAATCTGTCGCTGTAGCTGTTTGGGCGCCAGGGCCTGACAGGGCAGGAGTGTTTCCTGCTGGCCAGTGTGGGCGTCATCTGTCAGGAGAGGCTGCAAGTCAGCAGGGGGACAGGGAGGCATCTGAGAGGGGGTCAAGCCCAAGAACTGGGTGAAGTCCAGGACAGGGGACAGGTCTAGGGCATAGGAGATTGAAGGCCTAGGCAGCAGCAGATGGCACAGACCTTGGCAAGCAGGCTAATCTTGACTTTCTTAAACTCTAGCCCTGTTAGAGGAGTTAAACTCTGAATTTACTCAGTACATAGTAACTTCTCACCTGATGTTCTGACCCCTGTGCTACTCCAGTGAGTGGAAAATAAGGAGAGTTTTGCTGCCTCAAGTTGTGTTTGGGCTGAGGAGAGGCCCTTCATTAGAACCTGCCTACTCCTCCATCCTGCCCTCTCATCTTTCTCTTCAATTTGCTTAAAGCTTCAGCCACATCACACCCCTCACCCTTCTCAGGATGTCTTCAGCCCTTTCAGGGCCTAGTCAGGAGTTTTCTTTGCCAGAGTTTACCTAGACTCCCCAGAGACTTGGTCCATGGTCCATTGCTCCTCCAGGCACCCATAGCATTTGTTACAGCATTCGTCCATCCCTGTTGTACCACTGATGGGCTGTATGATCATTATCTAGTTCCTTGCTGCTTATTAAAATTTGCCTTCATTGAGGGTATGAACCATGTGCGTCTCCCAGTCCTGAGCATGTTGCCAGCACCTAGTAGGTATTCAGCTGTGCACATATTGTATGTGCACAGCTGCCCAGACAGGAGAAGGTAGACAGCCATGGAGAGTATTATCTTGGTAGAGTGTTCCTGAGTCTCCAGGATTTCCAGCTAGCCTCCAAAACTCTTTGCAGCTTGGAGATGGGGTAAGGTGGAGGCAGGGTAGGGAGCTGTATATTCTAAGGGAGGAAGTTAGTTAACTCCTGTGTAGAGAGCTCAGACTCTTTCTCCTTGACCTCTCTGCAGTGACACCCCTTCCACCTTGAAACCCACTGTGCATGGCCACCATGGCCCTAAACCATCCTGTTCCCTTTCTCCCCTTACTCTTTCCAGGATGTTCGCTTCCACAGTCCTCAGTTCTCTGCCTGCACACATTCTTTTCACTCTCTCACTTGCCTGCTCTCTCTTAGTGATCTCACCCATTCTCATGACTTCTGCCACCTCTAAGTAGGTGACTCCCACATCTGAAGCTCTAGCTCTGACGTTTCTTCTGAGCTCCAGTCCTGCCTTTATTTCTGTTCAGATATCTTACCTTTAGCTCAGAGAGAACAAAAGCAGACTTCACAGAGTCTTCACCATAACTACCTTTCTCTCACATTTTTTGTTAATGTCACCACTGTTCTCTTCCCCACTCCTCCCTACCTCAGTTCAGAATTTGGAGTCAGTTTGACTCCTTGCTTTGCCTCACCTCCCACACCCCCATTTCAGGTCCTTAGCCTCTGCCCCCACCTGTCTCCTTACCTGGTACAGCCATCACCTTAGTTTTGCCCTCATGCCCCTTCCGCTCCTCAGCTGTACTCAATTTAAATTTCCTGAAGTTGGTCGTCACTTTCCATTTCTTTCTAGGGCAAATTGCAGAAACCTGTTACCTGTAGGGCAGATTGCAGACTCTTTAGCCTGAGTGTTTAGAGCCTTCCTTCATTTGACTCGAGGCTTTTCAGCCTCATTGCTAACTGGTCACTTCCCTGAGCCCTCAACTCCAGCCAAACTGGTTTTCACACCCTGTCCTTCTCCTTCCCTACAACACCTGTCTAAATTTGTGCGGAATTCGAATCCCATACCTCTCTGGCCGTGGTGATTGCAGTGCTGGCAACTGGACATTACCTTCTTCTGTTCTCTGTGTATTTCTCTGTGCCGAGGGCCTGTGCACTCAGCTGTCTGTCCCTCTACTTGGGGAAGGTATCATTGCTGTGCACTTGCAGAAGGCCTACAGTGCCAGGCAGGGGAGCTGGCCTTTGATGAGTAAGCAGTGGGGATGAGGGGTGAGGGGTGGGGATGGGGGAAAGTTTGAAAAGAGGAGAAGGCCATGATCTGTGCAGCTCTTCCTTGCCTGGGACCGGGATCATGCCCTCATTGCCGCTGAAGCTGTCCTGGGCCTTCATTCACATTCAGAGCAGGCTTCTGACTCGTGGGTCTCAGATCTGCTGAGGGTCTGAGACTACCCTGGTAGTAAAGGGTGGTCACAGATGTCCTGCCATTGCTTTTCCCACACCACGCACTGAGGTGGTGCCCCAGCTAAAGGCCTGAGAGGGCCTGTCATCCCTGAGGGAATTTCATTCCAGCCCTCAGTCTAAGAAAGGAGATGCCGTGATGTCTGACACTTTACGTTATAGTAACATCAACCCTTGGACCCAGGCAGAGTTTGTTTTTTGTTGTTCCTGCTGGAGCTTAAGCCACTTTCTAGCTCTCGGTTAGACAGAGTAGCTGGCTTTGTTCATTCCCTTTTTAGGTGGCCCTGAAGAACTTGAGACTTGACGTCTTACTCTTCCCTTTGCTGTCTCCTTCCAGAACTGAATGATTCTGGCCTCTTTCCCTCCTTTTGGCTGGGAGACTGACGTATTGCCTCCTCTCTGACAGGAAGTTGTACAAGCGCTATGCCTTCCTGCGCTGTGACGACGAGAAGGAGCAGTTCCTCTATCACCTCCTCTCTTTCAATGCCGTCGATTACTTTTGCTTCACCAATGTCTTCACAACTATCCGTGAGTAGCCCTGTGCTCCCCACCAGCCTTCTCAGTGCCATCTTCCTGAGCCTCCCGAGGCTAACTCTTTCTAAAGAAAGAAGATCGTCACTGTTCTTTCTGTTTGCCTTCTGCTTCCATGGGGAGAGAGGTGCACTGCCCTCCTTGAAGGTGGTTTTTCCTCTGAAACTTCTTACTCTTGTTCTGAACTGGGGAGCCTAGTCCTTTTGGCTATTGTGTTGTCACTTTGTCCTAGGCACTGCTCTGGGAGCCTGAGGCGACGAAGGTGGAGTTGGGTGGTGAAGTTCGCTGCCCTCTGCACACCTGTAAAGAAATCTCCCTTTTGTTTTGGGCTGAGGGAGTCATTCACCATCATAGAAGGTTTCAGACCAGCCCACAGGGAAAAACAACTCCTCTGGAAGTAGCAGAAAAAACTCCAGATGGCAGTGGGAGGTTTGGGTCCAGGCCCTGCTCTGCCCTCACTCAGGGCATTATGTTTCTGTGAGCAGTCTGCCCCTGCTGCGGGCCTCGGTCTCCTTATTTGCAGAGTGAGGAAAAAGGTTCAGTATGGTCTAAGGAAGGCCCCTGGAGCCTCATCTTTCTTTGGTGCCAGGATGCTGTGTTGGGCAGGGTTAGTCTCTGAAATTGCCCCATGGCTATTTGTTTGGCCGGTGACTCAGCAGCCTCAGCAGCGTGGACTCTTGCTTCTATGTGACATTCGGAGACAAGGGCTATAGGTTTCAGTAGAAGCAGCACTGGACTGGAATTCAGGAGACCTGAGGGAAACTATTTTCCTCTCAGTGCCTCGGAAAAGACCTTGTAATACCTGCATGTCCTCTCCTGAGATTGTTATTAGAGTTCATGAGATGGTAGGTTGAAAAGTGCTCTGAAAAGCAGTTCAGTACAATGTCGAGTTGGTGATATTGTTTAAGGAGGAGGTTAACTTAGCTCTGAGCCTGCAGATGGGCTTGGATCTTTGATGTTTGGGTGGTAACCTTGGGAGGAGTGAGATTGAGGAGAGGATTGGCTAATATTCTAAGCCAGCCAGTGAATAGGTCCTGGGGACCTGCTGCTCCAGGCTCTGCTGGGGCTGGTACATCAGGGGCGCAGTCATGCCAGCAGCTGGGGCAGGTCAGGGCCCTTTCAGGTATGGGAGGGGTTCCTGATCCCCCTCAATGCCTTTGTTGCCTCCCCTAAACAGTGATCCCATACCACATCCTGATCGTACCAAGTAAGAAGCTGGGGGGCTCCATGTTCACCGCCAACCCGTGGATCTGTATCTCAGGAGAACTGGGTGAGACACAGATCCTGCAGATTCCCAGGAACGTGTTAGAGATGACCTTCGAGGTACGTGTTATCTGGGGACCACAACCCCAGGCTCTGTGGGGATCTGAGTTTGCAACGGCTGCTTTTCTCGAGCTTTCTGCAGGGTTTTATGGAGGCCTTGCTCTGTTCAGTGTCATGCATCAGCACAGCTGACCTGTCCTGAGATGATCAGAGGCTGCAGCCAAGGGTTGACCCAAGGAGTGGGAAGCCTGCCCTGTCTAAACACTCTCTGGCTGGAAGGCGCTTCCCTGTCTGTACTTTCATACCTCCCTGTCCATGGCGTGTTGAGAAATCCCCAAGAGTTCTTTCAGCTGCTGAGCCCAAGTGTTCACAGAGACCTCTGAACCTTAGACTGCTGTCCAACTGCCAGAGCTGCCTGCTCCCAGGCGCTGTTCTTCCTCTAGGTAGCAGCCTCTTCTTTCTCAGCCATGGGCCCCTCACGAGACAGTGCTGTACTTCGGCGGTAGGTGGAGCCATGAGCTCTGCCCCTGCAGATACTGAGGGGCCAGGTTGCAGGCAGCCAGATCGATCTCTGCCTCTGAGAAATGCTGTTCTTTTCTCCTGTTTTCTTGACCTACCCCATCTTCTCTCTTGGCTGTTCTTCCACAGTGCCAGAACTTGGGGAAGCTCACTACTGTGCAGATAGGGCATGATAACTCCGGACTGTATGCCAAATGGCTAGTGGAGTATGTGATGGTCAGGAATGAGATCACAGGACACACCTACAAGTAAGTGTTCCCGCAGCCATGCCCTAAGATAGTGGGGCAAAGCGTACCACCAGGGGCTGTGTTTGATGCTTGGGGATGTGGAGTTCTCAAGGAGACCCTTTAGGTTGTGATAGGCTGAGGCAACTTCCTGTTTGGCTCTGCCTCATGTACCTGAAGAGAAATAAAAGGAGAATTTTCCAAGCAAAGATGTATGATATTGCTGTGCACAGGTTCCAGGCCACCCATCGTCAGGTGGCTTCCCTGATGATACACAGTGGGATGGATGAGCAGGGCCTTGAGCGATCACCAGCCTGGTTTCAGAGCCTCTTCCCAGTGATTGGCTTTGTTGATGGCTCTTGCTGAGCAGCAAGGAGAAAGACACTAGAGCAGCTGGCAGCTCTGACAAGCCATTGTCTGACATTTAGGTTCCCATGTGGCCGGTGGTTGGGGAAGGGCATGGACGATGGAAGCCTGGAGCGGGTCCTAGTTGGGGAGCTGCTCACGTCCCAGCCTGAGGTGGATGAGAGGCCATGCCGGACCCCGCCCCTGCAGCAGTCCCCCAGCGTCATCCGGAGGCTTGTTACCATCTCACCCAACAACAAGCCCAGTAAGTGGGAGGAGGGGTTGGGCCCTCATGCCACCCAGCCTGGGGAATGTGGGCAGATCTCTAGGAGCCCTGATATGAGAGCCTAGATCCCAGCCTGTGCAGCTGCTTCAGGAACCACCTCTGCCCACAGCAGCCTCAGGCATTTGTCACCCTCCTCTCATGAATCATTGGGCAGTTTGGCACTCTCCTTAGAGGCCTGGAAGGAGAGGGAGAGCTCATGGAGCCCAGCCTGGGTCCTCTGTACTATTTGTGTATGATCCTAGAGAGGAGAGGGCCTGCTTTCTGGCCTTCTTCCTGGTTCCTGGGCATCACAGCCAAGTCTTGGCCCTCTTTTGGTTGACAAAAGGTCCAGGGTAAAATGAAAAATAGACTTTACTTAGAGACATCTCTTAGGGACAGAACTCTAAGGTATCAACTTTTGCTTTTTTCCCAAGATTTTAGGAAGATCTAGCTCAGCAAAGTTGGGTGGGCAAGAGCTGGTCTTCCCGGGGTCCAGGCTGCCCTGCCTCTCCCATGGGCCCTCCTCACGTCCTCAGTCTCCTGCTAAGCTAAGCTAAGCACTGTTAGCCTCTGAGATTGGTGAGGGATGTTTGCTTGATTTGTATCAGAGCTGAACACTGGGCAGATCCAGGAGTCCATCGGGGAGGCAGTCAACGGCATCGTGAAGCACTTCCATAAGCCTGAGAAAGAGGTGAGCCTTCCTGCCCTCCAAACCAGGGCCTTATATTGAATGAGAGAGAATAGTCTTTTTCTAGGCCCATGTGCTGTGGACAGCCCAGAGTGTAGAGTGTGTGCCTCAGTTAGTTTGAGATTGAGCCGATTCCTTCCTCTGGGGGCCTGTGCTGCAGGTTACCCTGTTTTCCTTACACACTGATGACCCAGCAGAGTCCCTGGGCCCCTAGTGAACAGTGTGTATTCCTGTCCTCTTCTGGATTTGCCTGGGTCTTCCTGAGCAATGGCCACACTGGCTTCGTCCCCCAGGTGGGGACCCAGATCCATCATCTATTCATTCGCCTTCATTCAACAGCTGTTCACTGAGAGCTGCTCTGAGCCAGGCACTGTGCCCAGTGCTGTGGGAGTAGACAAGGTCCCTTCCTGTCTTTTGCTGCCCTCCCAGCTGTGGGCTGTGGGTTTGGGGATGCAGTGGTGGGAGGGCAGCTTGGCTGAGGCGAGCCTGGCTCTCCCCTCTTTCCTCACTAGCGAGGCAGTCTGACGCTGTTGCTTTGTGGAGAGTGCGGCCTTGTCTCGGCCCTGGAACAGGCTTTCCAGCATGGATTTAAATCGCCTCGGCTCTTCAAAAATGTCTTCATTTGGGATTTCCTGGGTGAGTTGGGCTAGGGTGTGAGGGTGGGAAAAGCATGCAGAGACATGGGGACTCACCAATGTAACACGGGTGCCGATCACAGGGGTCTGAGGTGCAGAGGCCAGATCAGGTGACTCGCAGATTAGATCTGTTGTTGGTTTGCCCTGGCTTTTCTAGGAGGTGATGACAGAGTGCTCCCCACCCTTCACCCCTTACCTCCTGAGAGTTGGACGGAAAAGATTCTTTCTAGGCGTCTGTTACATAGTGCAGGCTCAGTTGTGAGTCCTCACAATCCTTGTAGATCCAAAAGGCCAGTTGAAAACAGTGGAGCCCATGATTTTCTTTGTGGCACTCTTGGAGGATTTTCGTGCAAGAAGCTTCTCCCTCAAGAGTTTTTTTTAAATTCTCAGACTAGGGAAAGGGCCATCTTTATATCAAGGGCCACACAAATAAATTTAAAACATAAGGGTCATTTTGAAATATGACCAGTGACGTCAGAACACTCATGTTATTCTTGTTAAGTCACTTGCATCAATATGGAGAGGCCCAGGGCAAGTGGCCTGCAGGATAGTCAGGGAGAGGTCCGTTTGGAGAGCCTTTGTCACTGGCAAGCTTTTCTCCTCTTCACAGAAAAAGCACAAACCTATTATGAGACTTTGGAGCAGAATGAAGTTGTCCCTGAGGAAAACTGGCATACAAGGGCCCGGAACTTCTGCCGATTTGTCACTGCAATCAACAATACTCCCCGGAACATCGGCAAGGACGGCAAGTTTCAGATGCTGGTGTGCTTGGGAGCCAGGTACTGCAGCCTCATGGCCCGGCATGCACGGCAGCCAGCCTTAGAGGGGTGCTGGAGGCCTAGTGAGGGGCAGGGGGTAGGGGGTTGTTAATGACCAGATGCCCTTGGGCAGGTGAGGCCTTGGAGGACTTCCCGAAGGCCCTTAATTTCTATCATGTACCATGCATATGTGTGGGGATCTGTGGGGGTGGGGATGAGAGTGTGTATGTAACTGGGGAGGAGGGGCCACATTTTGATGGCAAGGAATAAAACCACCCTACTGGCGAAATTTGAAGCAGAGTATATGTAGTCATTCCTTCAACAAACATCTGAATGTGCCAGGCCTTATGGAAGGTGGTGGGAATAGAGCTAAATAAAATATGGTCTCTACTGTTTAGGAATTCACTTGTCCCAGTTAAATACAGTACAAGGCAGAAGGTTGTGAGAGTCCAAAACAGAAGTGTGCATTCATAAGGTATGCTGAAAATGTAGAGGAGAAAGATCAGAGAAGGCTTCAGGGAAGAGGCTGTAAGGAGGATGAGGAGCTGGAACAAAGAATCTTTCCATATTAGGACGGAGTTGTTTGATCAGGGGACTGAAATGATCTCATGCATTGGAGTGGGAAAGATTTTTACAGGCTATCCCAGTAGGTCAGGTGAGAGCATGAAACCCAAATAAACTGAAGGCAGTAGTTTATTCAGGCCACGGAAGGGAGAGAGTTGGCATAGTGGTTAAAAACAGACTCTGGAAGACCAGGTTCACTAGCTTCTCATCTCAGATCAGCCACTTAACTAGCTGTGTGATCTTGGACAAGTTTCTTAACCTCTGTGTACCTCAGTTTCTTCATCTATAAAGTGAGGATAATAATAGTACTAGTAGCACCTGCCTCATATCATAGGGTTGTCATGAAGGTTAACTCTCTTATAACAGTGCCCGGCACATGCAAAGTGCTATGTGGGTGTTAGCGCTCAGTGTTATTCCTGGTGGTGGTAGCTCTGGGGAGGAGCGATGCTCTCGGAGAGATTGGCTATTGAGATGGAGGAGGTGGTGCTGACTGGACCTGGTGTCTGGTTGGTGGTGGGGTTGTCTAGGGAGGGAAGGGCAGGCAGAGGAGGAAGAGCTGGCCTGGTGGCAGATGATGGGGCTGATTTGGGTCAGGTTGGGTTGGTGTCCCTGGGGCTGGGCAGCCCCCAGTGGGAGTCTTTTAAAGCCGTGTAAGGCCTCTTTGCCAAGCCCTGTTAGGGGAGAGAAAGGGGGCTTCAGACTCGTTCAAGGAGTGGAGAAACAGGTTCCCTCTTGGCCTTGCACTAACCGTCTCCCTTGCTCTTCCCTTCTGACCCGTCTGGACTGATCCTGCCCTGCCAGAGATCACCTCCTACACCACTGGATTGCCCTGCTGGCCGACTGCCCCATCACCGCACACATGTATGAGGATGTGGCTCTCATCAAAGACCACACGCTTGTCAATTCCTTGATCCGCGTGCTGCAGACACTGCAGGAGTTCAACATCACGCTGGAGACTTCCCTTGTCAAGGGCATCGACATCTGACCTCCCAGCACCAGCTGGCTGCAGGACCGAGAGAGACTCACCCTGCAGCTCTGACCCTTCTTCCCAGAGGGCCTTAAGCGAGTTGTGCAGGAGACAGAGAGGAGATGTACACTCACTGTAAAAAGAAAACTAGAGGATTTTTGGAATAAATAATCTATTTTAGAGTTTATTTGCTGATTTGCTTTTTACACACTTTCATGTGAAAGAGTGCTAGAGAGAGGGAGACGAGGTTGGTGCCGCTTATTTTGAAGCTGGCGCCCTCCCTCGCCACAGCCGCGAGCTGGGAGCCTGCGGCCTTCCTGGACTGAGCCTGCGGCGCCGCGTGCGGGGCGGTTCTGCTTCCTTGCCCCGCCGCGTTAATGAGGCCATTCCACGTCATTTTTAAACTAATGTTTTCTATATTAACATTATTATGGATATTTGGCTTTCCTGGGCCACACACAGGTGTGCTGAGCGGGCAGCCCCAAGCTCCAATCAAAGGGATCTTAGTAGTGCCTCTCCAGGCACTGGTGAGTCAGTCCAGATCTTTTTTTTTTTGTCAGTATTATTTGGGAAGGAGACATGCCGAAATGTATCACCGTGCAGAGCATCACGTTTCCTCTTGGCACGCGGCTGCACGGAAGTAAACATAAGCATGTTTTAACAGGTTTTCCTTTTCTTTTTTTACGTATTATTTATTTAACCCTCCATTGTGTGTTTTAAGTCTTTCTTTTTTATTTTTTTAAGGAAAGGAAAATCTTGTCACAGTCTAACTGGCTATGTTATTACTGTTAAATTTATGTTGTTTTGCAACTTAGAAACCAGCTACAGTATGGCCCACTTAATAAAACACCTGAAACAAGACTGCCTGGGGTCCCTGACTTTGATGGGGGTTTGGGAGTGGTGGGCAGCGGAGGGTGCAGTTTGGTCCATCTGAGAACCGGGCTGTAGGATCGCTTCTTCCCCCGCTGGCTCAGGGTTTTGAGTTGCCCAGGGTGCCCCTGAGGGCCAGGCGTCTCTTGGGTCCTTCCTGCTGCAGGACCGGGAGCTTTCATAGTCGTTAATTCAAATGGTTGAGAGGAATGCAGACAAGGGTTATTTTCCTGCTCCACAGAGGAGGAGGCTGAGGCATAGAGGGGAAAAGACCTGGCCAAGGTTGCAGAGTTGCCACTTGACCAAGACAGGATGGGCCATTTCTTGAAGTGTAAGGAAGACCAGGTGTGGAAACAGGACACATGAGACCATGTCTACCTTCAGGGAAAAAAGCTCTCTCTTGAGAGAAGGGTTTGCTTTTCATGGGGTGGCAGGTGGGAAAGTGTTATGAGAGTTCTGGGAATCAGCTTCCTTCGGTTTTATTCTTCAAGCTGCTTTGGCAGGAAGCTCCAGACGTGTAGCGTGATCAAGTAGAACTCCTCAAACCAGTCAGTGTCCTCTTTTATGCTTCTCTGATTTTGGCATGTACTGTTCCCTCTGCCTCGAATGCCTCCCCTCGGGTCCACTCTCTGTTCATTGTTCAGGGTTGGCTTTAGGAGTCACCCACTGTGAAGCCTTCCGTAACCAACCCCCCCCACCGTGGGCACAGTCACTCCCTGTTGTACTCAGTTTCTGAGATGCTGGCGCCTCCTCTCTGGGTTGGCATTGCCCGCTTGTGTGTTGGGCCCACGCCCTAGACTGTGAGCTCCTAGAGGACAGAGAGGGTCTCTTGTTCATCTCCATTCCTGGTGCCTGGCCAGTGGCGAGTGCCCAGGTAAGGCTTTTTGAAGAGATGAGGAAAGGGACTAGAGGCTTCTAGGACAGTCGCAGTGCAACATCCTGCTGGCAGGGGGCGTGGATGGGCTGTGCTGCCCCTGTCTACCTGAAGGCCAGGAGAGTCTTCAGTGTTTTTGGAAGCGGAGGAGAGAAAGAGGGGAGTGGTGCGCAGCGCCTCCAGGGCAGGAAGAGGGGGATTCCTGGCTGAGCAAGAGGACAGCACGTACCTCACTGTGTGTGTGTCTGGTGTGGGCCTAGGCCAGCAGTGCCCTGAAGCCAGGTGCTATACACCACACCCCCCTCCTCCCTCACAACTCTGCAAGGAGTGCAGATTATCCCTGATTTATAGGGGAGGAAATCAAAGCTCAGAGAAGTTGAAGCACTTGCCCAAGGCCACACATCCCATAAGTAGTTTGCTGTTACCGGAACTGTCTCTCTCCAAGCTTAAGGCTTTTCCATTGATGACTACTCCCTTACTGACTCAGGTCCCTACTCACATGTCCTCAGAGAGACCTGCCCTGACTGCTCTAAAATGCCAACAGGTCCTACCAGTCATCTTTATCGCCTTATTCTGCTTTATTTTCCTTCCTAACACCTGGAACCGGTATACTTGTCATTTACTGATTCTAAATGTAAGTTTTATAAGGGAGGGACAGTTCCCTTTGTTCACTAAATAGTAACTGGCACGTGGTAGTAACTGGCACGTGGTAGGTACCCAGTAAGTATCTGTGGAATAAATGAATTCAGTAGCGGTGGTTAAGATCACAGACTGTGGAGCCAAAGTCCTTAGGTTGAATCCTTGCTCTGCTCCTGTGACCTAGAGCAAGCTTCATAGCTTTCCCGAACCTCAGTTTATTCATCACCTATATTTGGGAATGATAATAGGGCCTGCATCACAGGGTTGTTGTGAGAACTAAGTGGACTCCACATGTACGCCTGGAACAGGGTTAGGTGTGTGCTAAGTGCTTGATAAATGGTGGTGATCACCTTATTGTATCAAGCTCTGTCCTGGCTCCTGACTGAGTCCCAGACCCTCCGTCCTCAAGGAGCTCGGAGGCAGGGGCTGTGGGGCATTGTGACAACCAGGGAAGATACTGACCATGAGGAGTCATGCCTAGAGTGGACAATTGTCAGAGGAGTGACATTGCGTATAGAGAGAACAGCATGAGCAAAGGCATGGAGATGTGAAGGTGCCTGCCAGATTGCGAAGCTTGGGGAAGTCTAGTGCCAGGTCGACTCCCAGAAGGGGAGGGAGCAGATTTGAGGGCCCCACATCCACCAAGTGGGACACAAGGAAAAGGCTAACAGGTATCTGGGGCCTTGAACATTGCTGGTGCTCAGTAGATGTGGACTGACTGAATGAATGAAGACATGCTGTAGGCACAAAAACCAGAGCCATGTCACCTGTATGTGGCATTCCTAGTACACTTAGACCTGTGAAGAGTGTGATGGCTGCTCTGGGCCCTCCTTGTCTGATGGGAGAAATGGAAACCTGTGGTCAGAGCACAACGGCTGGGCTGAGACATGACAACTGCAAGTCTCAAGTGCAACGTGTGGGACCTGAACAAGTCACTCTCAATGTGCTCGTAACCAAGGGGTCTGGTCTGCCACACGACAGACTCCCCCCGTGATGGTGCCGCATATCTCAGGGGAGCGAGGGGAGGAGTATCATTTAGGTGACCTGGGAGTACTTCTCCTTACCTTCTTCCAGCTTTTAGGGGCTATTACCTGAGCCGATGCTCCCGCCAGTTAGAGTTAAATGACCCTGTATGTGGTGATGGCTCTAACTTGTACAACTGTCCAGTGGGTCATGGTTCTGCATGGTGGGTGTACAGCACCCAGCGCTTGGTTATGTGCTTCAGCGGAGGGTGCCGGTGGCCTCAGTCAGCCAAGACAGCGGAGGAGCAAGACCCTTTCCAGCAGACGTTGCCGAGAAGGTGACTGTGAGTAATGTTTTATAAATCAGGGTGTCCTGGGACCATCAGTCCATCTGCTCCTTCTAACAGCTAATTCTGCTGTGAATGTCTCACTCTCTACTGTGTTTTGTTTTATAATCTTCTGCAAATCCTCTTTGGAATGATGTGTGTTGTAGGAGAGCAGGCACGTTCAGTAGCTCAGTATTTCAAGGACACTCGAGTCAACTGCCTTTCTAGCTGTGGGTGGATCAAGTGCATTCGATTTGCTCAGCAAGCAGCCCTGTCTGCCTCGGCTTCTGTACCTGCTCTAATTCAGTGCTTCCCAGACTCGGAGGTTTCAGGGACTGGTAAATAAACAAGCAAGCAAATGAACTCAGTGAATTATAATGCGAGTGCCCTTGTAACCACCACCCAGGTCAAGAATAAAGCTTTACCAGCCTCTCTAGAACTCCTCCATGCTCCCCTGGCCCCATTCCAGTCCTGGCTGCCTTCCTCCTTCCACCTTCTTGATCTTTACAGGGATCACTTCCTTGAGTTTCTTTCATCACCCACGCGTGCATCCCTACACACTATAGTTTTTAGTCTGTTTTTTTTTTTCTTTAGCTTGATACAACTTGGAAGTCTTTTTAAGTCTCTTCTAATCTAAAAGGTCCCCTCTATCCCTTTCTTTTTCTTACAGTTTATCTGTTGAAGAAACTGGGCTATTTGCTCAGTAACTTGCCGCTTCTGGATTTTGCTAATTTCACAGTGGTGGTACAGTTCAGTGTGCCCCTTTATCCTCTACATTTCATGCAAATCAGCAGCTAGATCCAGAGACCTGATTTGCCTCAGGTTTGAACACTTTGAGGAGACTCAAGGTGGTGGTGTGCTCATTTATCAGGAGGCATATCATGTCTATGTTCACTTTTTGATGTTAGCAGCCGTTGATGCTCAATGCCCACATCCTGTAAGTAATTCATTGGGAGGTTGCAAGATGGGGATATCCTAATGTATCATTTTGTTTTCATTTATTAGATGGAATAATTTTATAAGGAGATGTTTTCCCTTATCTATTTGATTTCTCCGTAGAGTTTGTATAGGAAAGGCAGAATAAGTGCTTAATTCTTTCCTTTTATTTTCTCAACTTTTAAGATAATGAACTGGACTGGTTCCATGTTATCCTCAGAAGGTGGCTATTTTTAAAAAATATTATTATGAACTCATGGATTTAAATGTATTTGATGGGTTTTATTCCCTTGCAGTTATTATCTTTATTGTCCCATCTTGGTAGTTGGGAGCTTCAACTTGGCTCCTGAGTTGTCTGACATGACCCTGCTGGTTGCTTTAAGGTATTTCAAGATATCCCAGGCTCGCGTTGTACATTTGCTGCCCTAGACTTGGAATCAGCTATTTCTCTAAGAAGCCCTGGGTTTCACGTGTGTTTTACCCATCGCCAATATATAAAGGCAGCCCTGCCACCTCCTGCAGTTCAGGAACGGTTATCTGTGCCAAGATGGTTGCTCTTTCCTCTCTGCTGGTGTCCAAAGTACCCTGGTGGCAGCCGGAGATTGTGGTTCAATGCATTGGGACCTATAGAATGTAGTTCTGTACCCTCTCTGGGGCCAGTACTTCCAACCCTGCAGAACCCAGAGCAGCAGGAACAAGAAGCACAATGTCTCTCAGTGGGTCCTTGGAAGTGAAGCTAAGTATTGCCACTCCTGCTTCTGCCCCTGGGCTCCTGAACCCATGTATTCTTCCTTAGGGACACAGCACCACATACAAGTCTGATTTAATGCATATACTAGATCCTGAAGGATGGCACCTCATCCTTGCAGATTATTGCTTCAGATTATTGAAGCTAGTGCTTTGTTTGTGACTTCAATAGGCTATTTCAGTGTTCTTTGAGGTTGGCAGCTTCAGGATGGTACAGTATATCTATGACCAGTAGATCCTGATGTCATGGGCCCACTCCCTAACTTCCTCCATGTGAAGTGGGTATGCTAGCTGGATGCTATGCTGGATTGAATTCCATACCTGAGGATCAGGTACTCTCTAAGCTTCTGGATATTAGTGCTGGCTGAGGTTCTGTGGGCAGAAAAGGCAAATCTATTCCCAGAATAGATCTCTATCCCTGTGAGGATGAACTGCTGGCCCTCCCAGGATGGAAGGGGCCTGAGGTAGTTGATTTGCCAGGTGCCAAGAGGAGACCAAGTGGCTGGT